AGTTTCAGCTTTCTAGCTTTTCTAGGTCTCGAGTTGAAAGTGGGTGACAAAAAGTGCGAACACACATCCACGCACACACACACAGCCTCTTCCCAATATGCGTTTTTGCAATTTACGTATGTGCAAAAACGCATTAAAAAGTGGATAGCACAGCGCAATGAACTGGTAATGGTGACCGAAGAGGTACGTGCATACTTATTGGGTATTTCGGATAAGGTTGAGGGCCGTGTGGGAATATTTGGAGGGCAGAATGCAGAAACTCTGGCCAAAGCAGTAACAGTTGGACAACGGTTTTTAGTCGGCTCAGGCTCGGGATCTGGGAAATTGACATTTGATTCATGGACCTTTCTGAAACGCCCATAGCAGATCAACCATCGAACGAGGGCGCTAATCGTGCTCACAGACGCAGCTACGGGAATCGAAGAATGGAAGATGATAAGAGAAGTCGCAGAATGATACCCACCACTTTCACAGCAGAACAAGCATCAGCGATACAACAGCTAATGAAATTTTTTCCACATCTGCGAGAGCAGCTGGAAACAGCGACGTTCAAAACGATAGACTGGGACGATGATGATGAGCACGTGCATCTGACATATGAAATCGGAGGGACACCATTTGCGCACAACGACCAACTCTGCAGCCGCCAAGGACTAATAACTCCAGCAGGCACGGAAAAGTTAATTTCAGGTTTGCAGTATTTCTACAATGCCCCGATTGAAAGCCGACTTGAGAACGTCCAACCGATAGCGCGATGAGCAGGGACACGGAGCAGTATGAAACGACCTATAGTATCGAAACTGACGCGAGCAAAACATCATCAGTATAACGAAGGAAGGATTCATCGGGGTTCATCGGTGAGGCTTTTTCTTTTTTGACACACTGCACCGTCACACTGATGAGGTCCAGTTGCAGCACTTAACAGGAATGTATGCGACTAGATGGACTGAAACATTCCTATTCAGATTTTAATTTTAACTTATTCACATTCCCCTTTTATTCCCTTACTTCTTACATAAACACACACCATCTAAAATTAAAATTACAATAGAGGTATATCACAACCGTTCACAGCAGGAACGAGCACGACCGTCGTATATTCGAAGACGAGTGGTACGCAAATGGTAATATAGACATGGCGAGTGGCCGTGATAAGCATGTGAAAAAAAATTTTTTTTTGTTTGAAGTTTGTTCGTTTTTTTAATTTTTTAAATTGTTGTTAACGATTTTAAGCTTGAGCATTCTGTATTGGCTAGAAAGATCAGGGGCGATCTTTGTAGCCGATTGTATCATGACCCCCTCCTAGATAGGTTGTGCATTGGCGCGAAAGTGGCCTAATAAGGACGCTGTATATGTGTTGGAAGTAGTATTGTATCTAGCAGAGTGTTTTATCCGGACCAGTGTCATTCCCATCGAGGAGTTACGATCGACTAGTGTCTATCGCGTGAAGTGCGCCGACCAGGACGACTTACGAAGGACGAGAACCCTGTTGCTACCCTCAGTAATTACCGACGACCGGACTTGACAGGCCGTAGTATCCGGCCAGTCAACTGAGGCGCCCAGGCCAGGGAACCCAACATAACAGCAAATAAATCCATTGTAAGATATGAGCGAGCGGAAAAAACGCTATGGTCCTTAACGCTATGGTCCTTGAGAAATAAACAGGCTGGGAAACAGATTTCAGACGATACCTGTCCATGCGCAGCTTCGAGAAGTGTCGTATTAGCCTTAGTGTGAGCGCACACCTGACATTTGAACGCACCAAAGTTCATGTTGCAAATATCCGCACTTGTCTTTGTGCTTGCGTATTAGGAGGACATGAGGGCTTATCATTATTGGTGACCAGCACATTATCGGCAATTGCTCCAAGAGAAGTTTTCAAGCTTTCTTTGCGAGTCACAAAAATTGTCGGCGTTTACTTCCACGCCCTCGCATGTAAAATGCAGAATAAATGGACAATTTCACGTTTAATTAGTCGCAGATGGTCGCGGGCCTGGA